TTTATGACAGCCACACTTTATCCTTGCATATCTTGGCTATTTCCTTAGAAAGACCCTTAAAATAAAATTTTAAAAAAATGAGTTGCCTCGACTGGGATTTGAACTCCAGACCTCTCACACCTTAAACTAGCACTACAATGAGGTATTATGAAGAAAGCTTGAATATAATAAGAATTTCCATTTCGAGTTTGTAATCCTTATTTAATTTCGAGGTATTTTGTTTACGATAAACCTGTTGTTTAACACTGATGTAAATAATTTAGCGAAAATCTCGCCAAAACAGTCCGACATGTATATATTCCACTACTCGACAGTCAGATTTATTTGTGTACTACGCTCTGAATATTCGGTATCGACATCGCTAAAAATAGCATTTTCATTGATTAAAATGATATTCATCCGCGTATTTTGTGATTGTGCATTTGTTGACAATTCTATAAGCCAACGCTACTATGCGTTATTATTTGTTGGATACTTGTAACAGAATAAAATTATTTCTTTCTTTTACATCGCTAGTTTTAAGCTGTTTTGAGAACTACTTGTTGTTAGGTTTTTTCGTTAAATTCTGTGCCAGAGATTGAATGTCGGCATTGAATTTCCTAATCTGCGATGAGAAAATATAAAAATGGCACAGGTCATGCAAAGGTATCCGAACCTAAATTCTAGCAAGTCACGTGATGATTAGGGCAGCAATGGCGGCGAATTTTATAAAATTTAAACGCACTGATAAACTTTGAGGCATTATTTCATCAATCTAGCCTTCTTTGTTAAAAAAATATAGATAGAGGACTACAACATAATTATATCTATCTACCTGTATTGAAATAGCTTTTGTCCAGATAACGCAAATTTATTTAAACAGCATGACACAAGAAAAGCATTGATGCAAAGCATCAAAGGGCGTCCAAGCAAGAAATGCAGCACTAGTAAACATATGATGACAAGATATTCTCATAAACTTTTCAATGGTTACTTGTTTTTACCAAAAATTGATATATCACTTATGAATGAGCGGGAAAGAAAATTGTTCATTCATGAACTTTGATAGGGCATGCTAGAGATTAGAAATATTACTTGTTTTTTTCCACAGGAACTTGAAATTTTATCAATATTAACCATAATATCCAAACTATACAGGTCAAATGAGATATTCTAAATATACTCCACATATGGTATAAGTTTATTTGTACTATATAGGGGCTTTTTTTGGGGAGGCTATGCCTCCCCAATGTAATTACCATCGGGTCAAATCTTTACTGCCGCGGTAATCAGGTCAAAAAACAGTACCTTGATTTTTTCTAAGCTGACTGATCACTCATCAAAGACATTACAATATGAAAAATATTTTCATTCTTTTATTTCATATCTGCAATTTGTAAAGATAATAATTCTCTGAAAAATTCTTGATTTTTGTTTGTTATTTTTTCAAAAATCACTACTCCGTGACGTCATACTGCCGCGGTAATCAGGTTTAGGCATACGTACGTTGGTAATAAATAGTTCTGGTATGAAAACCCTTTCTATATAATAACTTTATCAATATTTTTTAAACAAAAAGCATAAATGAAAATTTATAGGTAAATGCTGTAATTAGGTGGCAAATATTCTTTATTATCTTTGATAACAATTTTCAAATTACACTGTTTATGACGGGTCATTAACTAGAACGTTGCCAAACCGTAGTCTCAATATCATGCATGTTCTTTTGTTGTTATAAACCATTAATAGTCCTTAATATTTTTTAAAGACAAAATAATGGTAAACTGTCGCTTACATCAGAGACATGGATCATGCTTGCGTGATAACTAAGGAAAACTAACTTATTAGTACACCTTAGGAGGCTGTACCGCGGAAAACGCTCATAAACCGCTATATCATATACCTGTTAGTAAATATTTTGCATACATTTAACTAAAAAATTCACTGATGGTGATGAACATATAGTTTGAAAACATTATATTCTTAAACCATGTATCGCCGAAAACAAACTATTTAACTACAAAATCTGTAAGGACTCTTCGACAAAATTTCAGCGCAAGATTACATTTTATATATTAGCAAAAAAAAAAAGCAATACTTATATTTTCATATTACATAATTCATTAATCAAACTTTTTAACATAATCATTAAAAAAACTTTTCAAAAAAATATTTTTAAAAAAATTTTTGGCTTGACAGATCCCCCACTCTGATTTTTATTTGTATTTTGGAAAAAATTAAAAAATGTGGTTTTTTTGTTTAGGAAAATTTTGTTTGTAAAGTTTAAAATATAAGGGTCTCATAATTTTTTAAATTGACGGTCGGGATTTATACAACCCGTTGTTTAAAATTTTTTGCTAAATTTTAAACCCAAAAAAAATTAAAAATTTGGGGTAAAAAAAAACAAAAAATAGTAGTGTTTTTCCGGGGGGTGATCCCATTTTAAAATAATTATAGATTCGAAAAGAAAAAACCAAAAAGAAAAATGGTTTTTTTCAAAAAACGGAAGTTTAAAAAGGAAAAGGGTTAAAAGAAAAAATTGTTGGTTTAAAATTTGTTTTAACCGGGAAAAAAAATATTTCAGAGAAAGACGCAAAAGATCAGTCTTCAATCAAATGAATGACCCCGTATTGTGTAATTAGAAAGTTTATTCAATTCTAGGGCAACGAATCATAATTTGATAGTCCATGTGTAATAAAATTTTCAATACAGATTATGAGATACATGAAAATATTAAAGAATAAGAAGCTTTAAAAAATAATAATAAATAAAAAGAACTTATATGTTTGTTTCTAAAAAATAATTGGCGGCATAAGACGAATTTCGTATTCATTTTACAACACTTGAAAAATTACTACAGAAAATGTGTTGTTGTTTTTTTTGTTTTGTTTTCAACAAAAGTGTGTGTGTATGTGTGTGTGTGTGTGTGTGTTTTAAGTTCATTTATACTCGGCGCCGGAATAACCATATGTCCGAGATTATAGCATCGGGGACGTCTTTTTCAAGCAGAATCTTCCTGGTAGCCCATTCTTCGTTCGTTAGTGGTAAAGGAGACGACAATACTGTCAAGGCATCAACTTCCTGACTGACGACAACAGAAACGGCATTTATTAGCGCCAAACCTCCAGAGTAAGTTTCGACAGGTCAACCAATCACCTCTGGTACTTTAGATGACTTGACCTTGACCTGCCGTGTGCCTAGCTTCTCCGCGACGTGCATGCCTCTGGAGGGATTTGGAGAAGTTTCAACAAAAACTTCCAAATCACGCTATTTATAACATCATTCATAGCACTGACGCTTCGATGTTCTCATCGATTTGCGGGAAATGGTCGACAAGGAAAACCCTACATAATAACCGCACACTTTGTGAACAACATATTTTCCGCAGTATATATTTCAAGCTAGTGAGGTTTAAAAATACATGTAGAATCTATCGATTAACTACCATAAGCTGGTTGAGTGTTGGCGGTAAAAAAGAAGATATAACTTCCTGATCAATTTTCACTTAGGTTGATTCAATTTTGAATAAGCTTTGCAGATATGTATTTTTTCAAGAAATATTTAGCTTTAATATTATCCGAAGCCGTCAAAGTCAGCGACGAGTAATGAAATGGGAATAATTTTCTGAAACGTGATTTTATTCGAGATTTGCTTCGGGAGAAGACAACTTTCTGTCCGTAGAGCATGAATATTAATACTAATCACAAGACAGTGGTGTCTTATTGATCTTAATTATGGTACATGTAAATAAGTATATTTTTTATGTTCAATAAAAATGTTGCATAACTTGCAGTTGTTATTATCATTCAATGATATTAAAATGACAAAGTATTTATGATGAACAGTCCTAGAATATTTTGATAAGGAACCGTCAGTTGTAAAATGGTATTAGGATCTTATAATGAACAGTCGTCATACTTGCTGGTATGTCATTTATAAATGGCAGTTTAGGTTTTTCAAAATTTGCATGATTAACAGTCCGAATGTACACCTTAATGAAATGTTCTGGAATATTAACAAAATGAATAGTCAACCATATAAACCATATATATGAATGGTTGAACACAACAGTAAGGATAAATGGCGCAATGTGCATATCTTCTTATTTTGGTAATAATTGAAATAACAGCACATTTTAAGCAAAAAGAAAAGAAACTATAAGCCTGAAACATTCTGTCATAGCCTCCCCATCAGTACATTCAGTGCTTTGATTATATTATCATTTATATTGGTGATTTGATAGAATTTAAAGTTCATGTGGTATTTTCTTTAGATCATACAAAACCAATAGTTCTTCTTTATTTTGGAAATAATAAAATACATATATATTATAATATTATAATTGTTATTTTTATGGTCATAAATGTTATATCGCGATTATTAATATAAACGGATATATACAATAATTTATAATCCATTTGTGTAACGCATGATCAACACCACACTTGTGTATTGTCCTTCATTATGTTATCGCTATTAGCGAAGGTATCTGTATCTTAAGGTATCTGTTCACACTTGGTAAAAATATGACACTGGTTACATTACCATGTTGATCATGTTAATTGTTTTATTATACAATAATTGTAATATCTATTTTAATTATTTTTTTCATATTTTATGAATATTGTTTTCTTTTTTGTATTTTATGTGCTATTTTAATACTGAGTTTTTACGTTTACTACTTTTCTATTAAAGTTGTAAAATAAATTTTAAAAGTCAAAATTAAACTGGAAAGTGTCAGTAAATTATTGTTATTCTTTCAATATATTATATTTATTATTCCTAAACCATGTACAGGTACATTTGTATTTTTCATAAAATCTCATTTGTAACTTAGAATAATTCCTCAGCATCTTTACTAAACACGAATAACAAATTAAATAAAATGTTTCAAAGTTGATGGTGACATATAAATACCATAAAAAATGTCCCTTTTACTCAATAAGTGTACATATTTATTGTTTTTATCTCATATAAATAAAATGAACATGCCATTGTTGGTGTTGGTTTTTTTTCGAATTGTATGTTTATGTATAATAATAAAAAATAAATTTGAGAGTTGATCTCTGTTTATTAATTATTGTAACCAAACTAAGCGACAAACATTCATTTTGGGAAAAAAACTTATTTATCTGTAACGATATCAAACATTAACTCCAAAACCGGGAGAGACCGGACAATAAACGTGTGATACTATTCGCCGGTCTCTAGTAAATTCCGGTCAATATAGAGGTGAAAGACCGGGAATTACCGATAGGAGACCGGCGAATAGTACATCCCTCTATAAAAAGGATTTTAGGACTTTCACAATGTTAAGGTCATCTTTCTATTTACAGCTTTCAGATAGATGTAATATAATAACATACCATAAAAACTCACTGTGTACTACATAAGAATTAATAAAAAAAATCCCAAAGAGCGCAATTAGTTGACGGAAAAGATTATTTTATTTGAAAATGTTTGCATTGCAAAATTCTCCAGTTTGCTATTCATTGTACATATCGCTACATTTCTTTTTATGTTTATAACCAAACACCCTCATACCAATCGAAATGATCGGCTATTATGACCGACTAAAAGCCCGAGAAGTTGCAATTGTCCTTTCACAAAATCTGATTTCATTCCATAAGGGGCGTCTCGCTTCGGTGCGGACGCCAATAGATATGTCACCGTGCTTGTTGACTTTCGATACGGGATTGGCTTCAGAGAACAGGTCTAGCAGTGCTATAAAAACATTTCGCTGAAGTCTCTGTTTGTATGTAGCGTTTATAACGAGTAAATTGAAAAATAGTAAATACTACGTGATTAGGAAGACGTCTGAGCTAAAGCAAAAAACATGACAATTAGTATATTTCCTTCCAAAAGAAAAAATCGCCTATTTTCATCCGAAAGAAAATTACCTTTATATATGTGGTATATTTTTATATGATAGGGTTAAAGGTAAACATCATGTACAGTGTTACAACTTCTAAAATTCGAAAACTTTTGAATTCCGAAAACATTTCAGGGTCCCGAAACTTCTCCTTCCCTTTTTATGTAATTAATACCTCTGAATTACGGAAGTTCTAAATTCTGAATTCCGAACGATTTTCTGGTATATTTTGGGCTATATCAATTCAAATTTACTTCCACAATCCGGTAATTGAAAAAAGTGTGAAGGAATATTATACTTGACATTGTAAAATTTTAATTATAATGTGAGTGATTTTTTCATAGTTATATATTTTGTTAATTTAAACGATTACCCTTGGACCTGTTTTGCAATGTATCATTATGCTTACAGCTTAATGTAAACAGGATTATTCAAAAACAAAAGAACATTTTGAGAGTACGTCGCACTATTCGATTTAAATGTTGCGCAAATAATATTTTGCTTAAACATGTTAATATTACAAGTTATTGTTGAAGAAGTGATCTATAGGAATTTCAGTAAACAACAACAAACATTTGAAATATGTTTTTAAGAATTGCGATTTAAATCATTGAAATAATTAACATAAATTAACTGTAATTAAGAGAAGGTAGTGTAATTTGATGTACAATGTGTACGAGTTAATAAATAGCTGTCCAAAAATTAAACTCTGCTTAATAGAGAATAACTATACTAGTCATAATGCATGTTTCAACCAATTAGAAAGAAATTTCAGGTATAGACAAAGTTGGTTTTCATCCAGTTACTACAACCTCAGTAAAAAGTGTCATTACGTAATATTCTATCCTTTTAATGAATATTAAATTGGATAGACTCCAAATGTATTTCCTCTAGAATTCAAAATTAACTGATTTGCATCCGAAACTTTCACGTATATGCTGTCGTTTCTATTAAGATGAAGAAGTCCTGTTACCTGTAAACTAGATATTACATCAGTAGCATTCTTTGTAAATTTTTTCGAGTTATATAAGAGAGTTTGTTCATAGTTTTGTACTTTTCTACAAAGTCGTAACGCAAAAAACCGTCTTTTATATGTATAAGCTCCTTCACCTCCTTCGGTTATGTTAAAATGAACAGACGCATAGACAAAGTATGTCTGTCCTTCAGGAATTCTTATCTCACCTTTGTTGAAATGGATTAATTTATCGGTGAATGAATGTTTCTCGTGTTTGTCCCAGTGTATTTTCACTTCTAAACCAGGTTCTGTAACGTAAGTGTTATAACATTATTCATGTTTTAAATTCTAAAGAAGATCTATTCCGTCTAAGTCTGTAAATTCATATAGTATTTATGATGATAATGCACTTAAAAAATAAGAACTCCGATATTGTGATATTACCTTTATATGTTTGATGATGGGATATTCCAGAAAAGCACACAGTAAGGTCACCGGATGCCCGCTGTAAACTTTGGTTTCCACACGAGAGGTACCTTTCACTGTCCAAACCTTGACATTGATATTTATAAAATAAATATGTAACATATGGTTTCAACAATACAATAGTTCGCAAAGGGAGGACAGATACAATAATAAATATCGGTAAACAAGACGCATGGGCATTTATTATTGGGCATTTATTATTATACTTTTATTTCATTTTCAGAAAAATGTTATTGCAATAGATAGTATTTTACTATGACAATAACATATAAAAATATATAATTATACTTAAAACTTTCAATAACCCCTTCTATCATTGAAACATGTTTTTAAAATTGTTTACGCTCATAGCCCTCAATAGAACCAGTTATTGATATATGTGTTCCGGTATAGTAATGTTCCCATATATCCATATATAAGAAGAAAGTGTGTAGATAGCCGGATTACCCACTCGGTAAAGCTGCGGGACGGTAAAATATATATCAAGTTTAACAATGTTCTATGTTCCAAATCAAACATTACCTGAACCATCATTTGTGGTGTCACTCGTATTTCGTCAGATTTATTTTCTGGACGTATTTCAACGGTCGGCCATATACTTCTCGTAATATTTTCGTTAATGTTCATGGTGCAGTAGATTTGTTTATAGAACAGCTTGAGTATTTCTCGGATTTCAATCATGTTAAAACGTTAGCAGACGTCATTGGTGACATTTTGACCAAATGTAACATGGTTCAGGGTAGCGCTAAAACCTTACCTATCCTATCAAGCATTTCACAAAGGTATCATAAACATTGGACGACCCTGTCTGGTGCAGTCAATTCACGTTATTCTTTTAAATACAGAGGAGTAGTATTACACTGCATACAACTTTTCACTCACAAGAAATAAAATATGTAAGCGACCGTTTAGCCAAGTCGTTTTGAACCGCAAAAACTCTATTCCAAGGTTCTTATCAGCCTGTCCATTGGCTTTTACCCTGTGACATTGAAATAAAAAAGGGCAGTAAAAGAAATGTGTAAAGTGTTGAAGGTCACTGGACAGCATAGTAAAATGAAACCGGAGTGTTTTTACTTACCTTTCGACTGTCGAAGTCTCAGCTGCCTTTCAACAATCTATGTGAGATAATAACTCATAATAATATGCATATTAATAAAAGACAATTAACTAAATAAGTTTGTGGTATATGAGGAAACGATATATATAAACATATCAAATTCCTTTACTTAAGTACTTATTTGATGTCATTGGTGACATTTATAAAACGTGAAGGTACTTCGAAATTCAATATATCGACCGGTATTCTCGTTTATAAACGTGAAAATTAAAATCTTATGTTAATGGCCAATAAGAAAAGGTAGGAGTTGTCAATTGTTCATTGATAATTCTCTTTATGCTACCAATGAAAGTCTTCTTTAACACCGAAAACCAAATACGGCCGGTATTTGACTAAAATTAACATATAATGTACATGTGTTTTAACGTTTAAAATGCAGAAGCACGTCTTAGACCAAAGCACATTAATTACGACATGTATTATTATATTATCGTATAGATATTTATTCACAGCGATGTTTTGCAAATGAATTCCATGTACTTTCTAGCCAAATATTTCTGTAATAATATTGTCATTATTTTCGGTTTTAAAACCCTATAAAGCGATGCTGACATTTCAAGGAACACATTTCGTACACACCCAGATGATTTCTGCCTGTTGAACATAATTTTGAATATTTACTGATCAAAGTCTACTGACCTTTGTACAAAGAATGTTAAAATTTTTTTCACTACAAACATAATTTTGTCTTTTGTCAAGAGAACTTTCATTCCGCCTTTTTCTTCGCTTCAAAGGTGTCGAAATCTTCATCGGGACTTAATGAAAGATCGTCACAATAGACAGATACTGTATTCATAGACATATCTGAGAGAAGTGGCAAGGTGTTGTTGCTTTCCTGCATAAGAATATATCCAATTATAGACACCAGAGCTCCGAGCAAAAGAACCAAAAATACGAGTATTCCAATCATTATATGTTCACTGTTACATACACCATTATCGTTACCTGTTTCATTTAGTTTCGATTGAACTAAACGTTTTGTGCTCAATATTAAAACGTTTTTCAACATCACTGGCATATTTAAGAAAGGAGAACTTTAAATCGTTCATAACAGTGTCTGTGCACAAAGTGAACGAGTAGTCATTGACCTACGTTATCTAATCTTGAATGTTTTATCTATTAAACGACAACACAATTTCAACTACATGTATACAATTATATTCATAGATAAAAAGATAATTGTAACAGTTTAAGTTTCGGTTTATTTCTAGAAATATAGTAATGTATGTTTAAATACAATCAAACAATATAATTAATGATAATAATAATAATATATTTCTTTAAAGAAGGTTACACATTAAGAACATACAATAGCAATCATATATATCATATTTCCAATGTGGCCTTCTGAAAAAGAAAACAACAACAACAGGACATGCATAGGTAGAAAAATGAATGTATAATATGTAATTTTTAGAATAAGACAACTCATATGCTTTCGACAGACACACAATAATTTGTTTAAACATATACGTATATGACATCATTCGTTCGTTCAGTTGTTTGTTCGTTCGTTCATTCATTCATTCATTCATTCATTCATTCATTCGGTCATTCATTCATTCATTCATTCATATGAACATCAAGGTATGTTTTGTAATTTTCTTTAAAACATTTAAGGTTATTAACATTACGAATATTTAAAGGTATATTGTTCCAAATGTTCATGTCATAATAAGAAAATGTGTCTTTAGTATAATATTTGTTTTAGGTCTTGTCCATAATACAATATCTTTTCGTGACCTAGATCTTAAGTTATATATTTTGTTGTCGGATAAAGTCATCAGTTCTGTCATATAAGTCGGTGCCATGTTATTTAAAGTTTTAAAAGCAAGCACCGCCGTGTGGTATTTACATTAATTTGTCAAGGAACGGTAACCAGTTAAGAGCTTCGAATAGCTTCATTGACGGAGATCTTTGTGGTTGCTGTAAAATGATTTTAGCAATTCGTTTTTGTATTATATAGTGATAAATTGAAAATACATTTATGTTTTACTATTACTACGGTACATGTTCCTTCTTGTTAATTTGTGTCGTAAACAGTAGAGTTAACACAAACACAAAACTTTGATTGATAATGTCTGGCGGAGCCAGATGTCTTTATTTTCTAAGAATAGATTATGATATAATCAAAAGATAAACAAAAAACTTCAAATACGCTTTCATAAAGAAAACAATTGTAGCAAACATTATAATAGATGACACAAAGTTGGACAATAAAAAACATTTATAGCAACCTATAAAGGATTAAATTATTAAATAATTATGCAGTATTAAGCAATTATTTTCTTATATTCATTGCATGATAAAAATATTTAGCGATTTTATTATTTTATATGTTATTGTTGATGGCATGAGGGAATAAAATAAATAATGGGAATAGTGATGCAACCATGTATCTTTAAAATACAATGTAGACAGCTCTGATATTGTTATATAGTGAACGTTCGTCCCCAATAGCATAAATATTTGTCTTTAAACAATCAAAACAATTTCTTAAATCTCTATCTATTCCAATATGTCTACCATTTTCTACCATAAGATTATGACATGAAAAGCGAAAATTACAAACAGCTCCTGTATACGTTTATGCTTAATCTAAACTTGAATATCGTTCATCTTAAAGTTCTTGTAATGTAAGGCTTTTGGTGAAGAATTAACAACAGTATGCCAGTTTTATAAAAATAAAAAAAAAATAAAATTAGCATTGCCGAAACATATTTATCTTTTATATTGGATTTTGTCCGTCATATTAGATTCCAATACTTATTTTTTTCTTATTGGGGCCACAGCTGTAATTTATTAAATAATTACTAATTTTCTGACAGTTATTCTTTTCACAAATTAACTGGACTAGTTTAAATCAAATTTACACGATCAAACATTCTTTTATTTTCGATATCCGATGCAGAGTTCACACAAAATATATCATCAGTCAACACTATACGTTTGTTGACACGTGCAGTAGTTCGGATGTAGCGATAGAGCGATTTATAGTAAACATCCGAAAGATTGTACCTGAAAAGGCTATTATGTCCTGACAGAATCAATGGAATGACCATACGGAGATGTTTTCTTACTAGAGGATAGAAAGATAGGATAGACAAAACTCATGACTAACATAAATATAAATTTCAACTTTGGTAAACGTCATTTTAATGCTTAGGCACATAATAACATATGTTAAAGATATAAAGAAAATAAGCAGAAAGAAAGAGCAATGACTAGCTCTAGCAATGACTTTAAATTTGATGTATTTTTAAATCTAATTCCATATGTAGATAGTATTGATCAGATAACTTATGTTTAAGTTTCTTTATGAGAGTTCAATATAAATACATTTAGATACTTCATTGTTGGTCAAACTCTTATTTATGAAAAAAAGTTTTCAAAAAGATATACATGTATTTCAAAGTGATTGCAACAACAAATAAATTACGGTTTTGGACAAAAATATACCCATTGAATAATGAATAAAATATGGACCAACAGAAAAAAAACATTGATACAGTCATAAAATTATGAGTATTGCAAATTGTAGAAACTTTATGATGATCGTACTGAACACAACATTTAGAATTGAAAATAAAAATTGGCGCCGTGTTAACCCGAAGCAATGAAGATAATGATCAGCTTTGTAATTTACAGTAATTAAAATTAAATAGATGATGCATGTAAACTGATTTTCGACAAGGGTTAAGTTACTAAACAGTAGATATTCTGGATGAAGACTAGCAAGAGCCGGTCACATTTAAAGCCTTTCAAAGAAATTAATGAACACATTTCTAGAAATCATTTAGGAAAATTAAAATACCGTATATATTGCGGGGAAAATAACCACACTAAATATTGCACAGAAGAAATAAAACCCACCCTATTGATTTTAACTGGTGGAAAAAACTACTCTGAAAATTCCACATAGATGGACAAAAAACCCATCCTATAAATTTTACATTCGCGGAAAAATCCCATGTTCATTTTAAATAGGCGGAATTAAATTTCCCTAGGCGGAGCAAAATATACTTAAGTTTCAAAAACAAAATTGCACGAAATATGTTTTCATGCTAACAAAATTTTGTTTCGTGTTAACATATAAAGGTAACGAAGACCAACTTTCGAAACTTTCTCTCGTTTTTAATTACATATCAGAATTGAATATCAAAAATTAAACCATTGTTAAACCATTGTTTACCCTTATCGACAAATAATATGATAAAAAGTAACAATACTTAATGAGTGCATACCGGTCACTAATATAATGTAAATGTTACTGAAATGATTAATAATACAATATAAAAACAAACACAGGTAATTTTCCTCCAAAAATATATTGTCGAAGGTTGATATCCGCCAAAGAAAGTTTTAGGGTCAATGGTTTATGTCTGTCTGGGAATCCATTTAATGAAGGTTTAATTCTACTCAAAAAAAGTTTAGAGTAGTTTTATGACCGGCAATATAAACAATAAATATATGGAAAAACATATACTAGTACAAAATGTAAATATATAGAGCATATATCTGTAAAACATAAAATTTATAAGTAAATATTTTTTTCCATAAAGTTTTGCTTGCCAAGTAAAACCTGAAAATGATGAATAAATTTATAGCCGCCATGGTGTAGTAAGAATTTTAAACTGCAGTTTAATTTGGTGACTCAAATGTGTTAATATAGACCTTTTTACGACGCGGTCCGTCGCTATGAAAAATCGACCGGAATTAGAATTTTCTCGCGCATGCACAATCTGCGTAGGGCTAAAAATGCTTCGCCCTACATAGAAATATAGTAGAAGTTCATAGACAATTCCGAGTTAGTTCAAGGTAAACGGTAGAAAATTATATAAAATAGCTTTCAATAAATGTAGAAAAGATGACTTTATAGCATTGTGGCGAAGAATGCCATTAAAAGGCATAGAAAAGATACTTGTTTAAGAATCTACGATCACAGACCTGACACTGAGATCATTTTTTTAAAGAAGATATGGAAATATATCTATTAGCAAATGAAAAGTCAACTTATTTTCTGTTGAAATATTTCATTTAAAAACAAAAGAAATTATATTACATGTACATGAAATCGAGATTAATTATCATTCAGAAAAATATCAGAACAGGTGATAATGCATTTTTAGTGTTCAATATACCTAAGTATATCCTTTATACGATTTGCCTGTGATGCAATAGAAAAGTTTAAGTCACATAAATAGATTTTAAATATTTTTTTTTAAGTTAAGATGGGTTGTTTGGAAAAGATATAACACACATTTATGCGCTTTTTCGTAATAGATGTTATTTTATTTTTAATAATGCACGTCACACAATTTTTCTCTTC